TCTCAGCTGTTATTTTCATTAAGGAGTGTGCACGTACAGCATGCGCGCCTCGTGCACGAGCCTCCTATTGAAGCTGCCGTTACGCTTTTGGCCTGAGGGGGCAGTCACGAGCATAAAAATTCAAAACTCCGTGAAGTCCCTTTAAATTAACTTGTTTGTGAAGAGAAGCTAACAAGCCTTTAGTTTAGCACTCGAGCGGTGCTTAGCGGTTCTGGTTCTGTTCGCCCATCTCCGTCAGATCCGTCCGAAAATTTCCCAGTGAGAACCGAAGGAGGATACTGGATTTCTCTCCCGTCAACACCTTTGCTGCGTAGAAGAAATGCAGAACCTACTTAGTGAATGCAGCCTGTTGCTGTGTGCGTGTGTGTGTGTGTGTGTGTGTGTGTGTGTGTGTGTGCGTGCGTGCGTGCGTGCGTGCGTGCGTGCGTGTGTGTGTGTGTGCGTGCGTGCAGCGTGCGTGTGTGTGTGTGTGTGTGTGTGTGTGTGTGTGTGTGTGTGTGTGTGTGTGTGTGTGTGTGCGTGCGTGTGTGTGTGTGCGTGCGTGCGTGTGTGTGTGTGTGTGCGTGCAGCGTGCGTGTGTGGAAAAATGAGCTTCAGGGTGCAAGGCAACTTAGTTTTCTGATAAATTTGATATTTTCCTTTCTCCACAATGAGCAGCTGTTTTTCTGTGGTTTTTCTTGGTCTGTTGATGTTTTTTTGCGTTGTGTTGTTGCGTTAAGCCCAGTTTTTGTGCTGGAACAGGGAAACAACTAAAACATGATGGACAAGTAATATTGAGGACCAACATTATAGAGCTAGTGTAAAAAATTAGGCATCATTGTTTTTACTTCGATAGCTGGTGGGCCGGTGTTGGCTCAAGATGCTCGGGCTGATTTTTCGTCCCAGTCCAGCTCTCGCTTCGGCCGTTACACTTCTCTGTCGGCGGAAAGAAACTCATCCACTAGAACGGCGGCTTCGCGGCACTTTCACATGCAGAAGAAAGAAGGGGACTCCGCTGCCTTCTTCCCTTTTGAGTAAATAAAGAGTTCTTGACGTTTTACCTCCACAAATTAGAGCCCTGCCCTGAAGCCCTAGGCCCTCGGGTCGGCCCGGCCCGACGGCCCGAGGGCCGGGCTTCGGGCCAACGACTGTGTAATTACCTCGGACACGGGCCAGGCCGGGCACCTTTATTCTTAATCAAATTCATTAAAAAAATAAAAATAAAAACTGAAACACTTGAACGCAGCAGCACCTGCCTGCTTCTCACGCACGTTAACTCAGTTAAGGTGTGTGTGGTTTATAAATGCACCTATATGACCGAATTCTCAAACAGCTGATTGAAACATGTGCCCCTGTTCTAATACGCCATTTTATGTCCACTCTGATGTCAGAAACATTCGTTTATTCTCATGAAAACGGCAGCATTCTGTTTTTCTGTGAATAAATTCGCTCTGCAGTTAGAAAAATACAGCATTCATTGCTGTTTTTTCTAACCAGAGAGCGCATTATCAGAGCGGCAGGTTAAATTTACAAACGCTATATTAATTGGGGGCGTTTATTTAATGTGCCGCTCTGAAAATGCGCTCTCCAGTTAGAAAATTAGAACGCTGCTTTTTTTTTCTAATTGCACAAGAGCGCATTTTCAGAGCAGATTAAATTTACAAACGCATCCAATTAATATAGCGTTCGTAAATTTCATCTGCCGCTTGAAAAATAGAGGGTGCTTGCTGCAGAACCACAAAGGCGGAGCTGCACCAGAGTCAGCCCCGCCCACTCACGCAAACAGCCTAGCCCACTGACTTCTTCTGTTTTTTTTTTCTATTTTAGCACAAACTAACCTGACCCACATGAATTACGGCTGTTACTAGTTTACAACTGTTAATGCTATGTTCTATGCTCCAACTAAACAAGATAAATATAACTTGCTACATGACAAAGCCTGAATATATCCCGAAAAGAAAAGGTTTCTTTAGGCGAATATCTGTCCATAGCCGCTCCAACAGAACCGGCCTAAAACAGCATCTAAGGACAAGTTTTAGTGTGTTCTGGTAGTCCAGTGGCAAGATCGTTAGTTTTAAGTTTTGCTTTCCCCTCAGCTGATGCTGGTTCGACTCTCGGTGAGGTCGGCAGCTATCTATTTATCCAGCTGAAACATTTAATTTGTTTATATTTTAGTTGTAATGTTTATTTTCTGCAAAATATTTATGCCTCTAAAAGTTCTTTGAATCTGGTCGTTCCTAAACAGCATTTTAGTTGAAACTCTGCTCACAAATGGACTCACACTGGCTAAATAAACAAATAAATAGAAAAACAAACACATTAGTCATTATATTTTAAACGGTATACCAATAAATGGTTGTAAACATAGTACTGGCAAGTGTAGCTAGAAAAGAAGAAAAAGTTTGCGCCACTACCGGGAGGCGAACCTGCGCAAAACTACATGCCAACCTGACTCCATAACCACTTCACACCTGAGTGAAGTTGGCCCCCCCACCACTTCACCACTACATCTGATAACAAGCTAGTCGCGTCACATGTGATTGTGCCATCCAGTGTGTCTTTGTAGACGGGATGCATGGTTTTTCTAGCAGTGTCTCAGTAGAAGTCATTTCAGAAATAATTAGTCAGAAAATTCACAGAATATCCAGATTTGAGAACCAAGACCAGACCCGCTTCGGGGGAGGAGACCAAACTGAAGCTGAGATGGGAGGAAAATGCATGAATGAGGCCAAAAATGGCTTTGGCGTGTTTCTTATGAGGAAATGACAATATAACACGGTAAAAAGTTCTAAAAGTTAGATTTTTAATTATATGGAACCTTTATAAAAACGGTTCAGTTAACTTCTCAACTCCGTCCTCAGTCTTGCATTTTAGATGATACTAGCTATAACACCCTCTGTGATTCCAGAATGCTGTCAAGTCTGACAACTGGAAGGAACTGGACTGACTCTGATGGAATGGGCGGGGCTGACTCTGGTGCAGCTCCGCCTTCTGGTGCAGCTCCGCCTTTGTGGTTCTGCAGCGAGCACCACTTGGAAAAATACGCTCTGTTAGAAAAAACAGCTGCATCGATGCTGTTTTTCCTTCTTTTCTTTCTTTTTTTCTTTCTTTTTTTTTTTTTTTACTGCAGAACGCTTCTCGCAGATGATCATAACGCTGAGCATTCTATCACGCTAAAACATTAAGAAAGGTTAAAAAAAGTCGGGCTCGGGTCGGGCCAGAGAATCCTGAAAACCTTTTCGGACCGGGTCGGGCTGGGGCTCCACCCCCTCGGGCCGGGCCAGACACGAGCTCAGATTTTAGGCCCGTGCAGGGCTCTACCACAAATAACTCAAGCTGGGTGGAGTTCAGCCATTCTGTGGAGTCGCTAATGCTAACGGGTAGTTAAATCAACACAGCCTTCTGCAGTCGCAATTCAAGTCGCTAATTTTCCTTGACGTAGAAGCGAAAGTTTTGTCGGAGCCGATCGATTTCCCGTTTATTTCCTTTCTGCAGCTAATGCAGGTGATGGGAGTAGAAGACTATTTTCACCTTCAACCTGCAAGTGATTTTATCTCAAAAAGAACCAATCACAGTTTCTCAGTGAACCACCCCTTTAAAAAGGACTTACAATAAAGATCTTGTGCAACTATAAATAACGCTTCTGTAAAATATTTCAAAAGCTATATTCAGGTCGTTGCCAAAGTTCATTTGTAACACCGTGCGAGCCGAAAGGAACTGTTGTTTGGATCGCTGAGCTAAACGAACATTCAAACCCAAACATGAAAGCATTCCAGCGTGAACACCGATGGCAGCTTTCCACCTGAGCATGTTGTTGTTGTGAGGCGTTATGAATAAGTAAACAGGAACAGGAACACCACCATTCTGCTACCTCGCTCAGAGCTTAAACTAAACTGCTGCCACTAGGAAAATACCACAGCGGCGACAAAAATGTCAAACGTTCACACAAAAATGTCAGACCAGCCACGTTTCAAACAGTTTGAGGCTCTGCAAAGCACTGGAAGATATACTAAATATTAGGGATGTGTGTTGGTGAAATTCTGGCGACACGATACGGGGAGGCGACGCAAAGTATCACAACATGTTGGGACACATTCAGTCGGATGATATTAGCGGATTTTTGACTGAATTTATTGTAGAAAATTCAATAAACAGTCCAAACTGATACGTAACACGTTTAACATGAGGGACCTGAACCATAACAGAGGATTTACATTTCAATGGTGGAAACAAAGCCCATTGCACACTGCTGCCAACTAGAGGTCGGCGTTTGAATTGCACCAAAAGAAACGAAAATACACATGTTTGCATGTAAATTCTTCCAAAAACTGCATACACACCTTTTGAATTTAAATGTAATATTGCAGGAAAAATAGCACGATATATTGCCATAGCAACATTTCCTTACATCCCTATTAAATATGTTTGTGAAACGTTTTATTTATTTAAATGTTAATTTGTGTTCCTGAAAAACCTCTGCTTAATAAATGCTCTGGAACATTATAGTCGACTTATTTTTATTTACCTGTTTGTTCATTTAAAGGTGTGGTTCACTTGTTTAACTGCTGCCCAGCATGAGGTTGCTCAAGTTTCTGGTTAAGAAACCACTGAAACCAGTTTGAAAGCAATAAAGTGTTCCTAACCCTAACCCTTGGTCAGGTTACTGAGCTGTCTGATGAACTTTGGTTAGATCTTCGATCTTAATACGATGCAGTGGACAACATTAAGATTCAAGAGTTGGTTAAACTCTGTGTTTGAAAACTGACTCAGGGTCAGAAAGGCTGTGCATCCACTGCAGGAAACATCTAGAAAGCATCCAGATATCGGTCATGAAAATCAGTAGTACATATCGGCATTGGCAGAAGAAAGGCCCTCGTCAGCTCACCTCAGACCACCACACAGGTTACCTTTACCAACACATCTGCAGCATCCCGACGTCCATAGATTTGCTTTTATTATGTTTCCAGAATAAATTTCTAATTTCCTGCAGAAATGATGAGAAGGCACTGAACTCCTCCTACCTTCCGCTGATACAGCTCCTCTGGTGTGGTGGACCTCAGACTGACCAGGCGGTGGTTCGTGGTGACGGTGCGGGGGTGCTTGCGAGGAGGAGCAAAGCGTTCCATTTCTGTGGCATAATACAGACCCTGTTTGATGTAGCCGAAGTATCGGGCCTTCGCTGACGACTCCTCATCCGAATCCGAGTCGCCATCGTCCCCCTCCTCATCCTCACCGGCTCCGTCACTGAGCCAGCGGGCACGCTTGTGGGCGAGCTTCACCTCACACTGATAAACAGGAAGTGAACAAATCACAATATGAGAGGATGGAAGGAGAGGAACTAAACATGGTCCTCAAAGAGAAAACCTGAACATTTTCACAATAAAACTCCTTTTATAATGAAATAAAACCAAATTTGCATCTTTTATCACCACCAAGTGTGGATGAGGAAGGTTTTTTTCTTTAACCATATTATTAAACTGATGATCTTTATGAACCATCAGAAGAAGGAAAGGTGCTGATAATGCTGCTTAATGCAGACTTTTCTATTGGGAATCTTGTTTATTTGCTTCATAAACCACAGGATACCTTTTAGAGGAACGATTAGGAGATTTCCCTTAAAAGTGGTCCTTAAACATCAACTAACACGCTAGAGGATTCCCACTCATTCCCTTCCATCGGACAAATCATACAACAGCATTAAACAGTAGACGGCAAATGAATAAATGAGCATTGTAACGCATTTTAAATCCAATTGTGATCAAGCTGGAAAACACTGAATTTAACCCTCTGACCCACTCAGCAGGCTGGATGAACGCGGACCGGCAGCAAGGTCACGCTGCTCTAAATCTGAGCCGTCCTCGTACTTCAACACTTGTTTTATTCTAGTCTTTGGTGATCATCTCAGACAGGGTTCCACATCTGCACACTTAGAATACAACCTGTACTTTTACCTTCTTCTGCAAGAACTTTCCATCATGGGGTCAAACTAAAGTCTAAATTCACCTTCACAGGAAAGTTTGTGTTTATGGCACAAACGACTCAGACACTCCTGAGTGAGAAACAACAGAATACTAACGCCTAACACACACACACACACACACACACACACACACACGCTCTCCACAATGCTTGGACTGGCTGGTGAAACACTCCCTAAGAGTTTCCAGAATAAAACAGAAAACAAAACATCTAACAAACCACAAAAATGAAGAATAAATCTAATTTACTGTTTGCATCATATGAAAATTTTCACTTTAGAGCAATTTTCTCTTCTAATACTGTTAATAACACAACAGCCGTGTTGCCTTTTCCTATCCAACGGGGTGTTCTGGACACGTTGCATGCCTGCGTCGCCCTTAAAGAGATACTAAAGTGCTTTTACTTTATGAGCACTTACACCACAACAGGTTTTGCATCACATCATTTCAGTTGAGAGAACTACTGTCCGACCCCTGGGTGGCCAGAATGTGCTACACTTTGCTGCTGCTGGTGATGTTTTTGCTTGTAAATAACCATAAAGATGGCAAATCGAGGGCAAAACACACTGGCAACACGACTCATCAATGACATATAATAATATTTTTCCATGGAGCCCAAGTCTCCTCCCTTTCCAGTCGACTCACGGGTTCCCAGAAGAACAAAAACATGAATGCAAGCGGGTGGGGCTAAAAGAGCTCTTTTCTAATTCGCTTTGCCTTACACCCTGAATCGCACTTGTTGTGTTTCATTTTAAATGGAAAATAATGTGTGTTTCGACCACGCCAGTCACGTACCTTTACAGCTTGTAAATGTTTGGAATTAGCATGACTACAAATCAGACGTCGGCACGTCGCATATATGACATCACAGAATCTCCTCTCTCCTAGCGTAGCTGCTTCTTACCAAATTGCGTGATTTATGGTGGTTCTTTCCTCCTGAAAGAAATATTTGAAGTTCGCTGAGCTCGCAGCCACTTCACCTCTGCTTTTCTCCATGTCTGGTTTAATGACGTGGTGATGCGCATTTGTAGACCTAGATATGTTTTCACACAAAACCTAAAATAACCCCCCCGTTCAAAATTAAGAGCATTCTTGGCTAAATGCGCTACTGAAATTCACAGACATCAGGTGTGAAATCCAAACAAACAGGATTAGAAAACTTATTTAACATTTTTTCACATAATCAAGCTGCTCTAAAGCAGCGTCATTCATGAACTCATTCACTCATTCATTTATTTTCAGGATTTAAGAAGCTTTGTCTCATAAACATCATTGAAGATGGCGTAACATTTACCTCCAGGCTGAGAAAGCCCCCATCGTGTGCGACGGTGACTCTCGGTGACGGCTCAAACCACTCGCAAGACTTCCCCAGAAGGTTGCGCAACGTTTTCACAGATGAGACCGTGACCGACCCGGAGCAGCGAGCCAGAATCAGTGCGTTGTCACTCCACCAGCTCACGTCCACCAGTGGATAATACTGCTCCTTATCTGGGATAAATAAATAAAAGCATTGTGTAGCCTTGTGGGATTTCATCCTCGTACCCAGGAAAAGGTGCATTCTTTGGTAAACTGCTGCCCTCTGAGACACAGTTATGGGTGGGGACATGAGCCATCACTTATGCATGGATTACTGCTCACACACGGCGTCATAGCCGTCACCGCTACTGGCCTGAAACTGTCAAAATAAGATTAGAGTCAACATCCTAAAGCATTTCTACCAAACATGTTTACTAGCCTGGCCATACTCTATAAGCTTTAAATGTCTAAATAACCGTGTGAATCAATGAATCAGCCTTTTCAAAGATCACACCACTGTACCCAAAGTGCACTCTCCTTCTAAACCTTCAGGCCCAAATACCTTTTATTCTCTTCCTTCTCTCCAGTGATGCCCTCCACTCTGGGTTGATCTCCTCAAATCCAGGCTGCAGGGAGTGATGGAAAGATGGGTGGGGGGGGGAATTAATCTGCTATAACCCTGTTTACACTTGCAGCGGCTCCACCGGCGGCAGAGCAGAACATACGCCGCATTCATCTGCAAAACATTCTGCCAAGGTGGGTTCTCCATAAGCCACTTCTCTCTCTCTCTCTCTCTCTCTCTCTCTCTCTCTCTCTCTCACTCACACACACACACACGCGCGCGCGCGCACGAACAGGGCACGGAGAGCTTACATTAATACAGTCAGTCAAGCATCTAACGTGCAGAATATTACTGACACACACCGCTGCAGTGTCTAAAGTCAAGGCTGCAACAGGACCTGTACCTGCTCTTCCTGGCTCCACGTGACCCTCTGCTTGAGGGACGGGACGTCCCAAAGAGACAAACGACCGGAGAAGTGGATCACAGCCAGAAGCCTCCCATCAGGACTCAGACTCATGCGAAACACGCCGTCCTGGACAACACAAAGGTGCACAGGTGCTTTCATTAAATAGAATCAAAAGCAAAAAGCATCAAGCTTTCATTTTCTACTACCTTTTCGTCTCCTCTTCTTGAGAACAATCCAAAGCTGGGGATCTTGAGGAAGCCCCTCTTCTGTTTCTAGAAGAAAGAACAGAACATGTTTGTTGAAATACTGATTTGTTGCATGAAAAGGTGCACAGGTGAGCATCCTCCTCACCGGACTGACGTCGTCCTCATAGCTGGTGACCTGCTTGTAGTGTGGCGAGCTAGAGAGCGCCCTCCAGGCCGTGATGCCGCTGCGCGAGGCCTTGGACGCACCATCGTCTCCCGACTCACAGCCACCTATCAGCAGCAATCTACAAACACACACACACACACCATCTTGACTGCACCTTTAACCCCGACTCAAGCTGCTACTGAGAAAGAACTAAAGGCTGCTTATCAGGGAGAAAGATCTGGTTAGAGTGGCGGTTAAACAAAGCACATGGGTCAGTGGTTCTGACTTTAAGGTGTAAACAAACAGGCTCTCCAGCTCAACACTGACCCCTGGTGTGTGAAAAAGGAAAGTTACTCTAAGGGTTATTTTGCAAATGATGAGGAGCTAATAGGAGTGATAATACAGTTAATCATGCCTAACGTTGTGCAGTCGCATGGCTTCATGAATCAGACTCACTCATTCATTTGAATTTTTCTGATGCACCTTTGCATGAGTGCACACATTCTCACACACTCAATTATCTTCATTATCAAGATCCGTTGTTTTTTAAACTGATTTCTCAACCCTTCCCCTCTTCTCTCTCCTATCCTCTCCAATGCCGACCCAGTTTTCACACGGGGATCATTAAAGTTTCATCTCATCTATCAGCTGGCCAACATTTGACGATAGCTGCCAAAATCCATTATGCTTCCACGTCAGAATTCTCCCGAGCCAAAGTGAGCTCTGGTTTATGCAGACCCTGGCGAAAGCTCTGGGGGACACACAAAATAAGCCCCAAATAATCAATCAAAAGCCTCTGAATGGCAGGAAGGACATTCTGCACCGCTGCAGTGATTTCCTGCAGGTATTACAGAGATGTGTTACTTATTCCAAAGTGAGGCCCCCCCGGCCTCGTTTGACTCTGGAACATCTCGTGCTTGTGCAGGATGTATCTATAAGAGATAAGGCGCTTGCCGCTTCCACAGACTCGCTTTGGCATTCTTCCATTTCCTCTTTTTTCCAAACTGTACTACTTTCACTCAACCGTGCTTTCAGGTACAGAAAGCCCCACCAGCCTATGTGAGACTGGGTTCGGCTGATTGCTTTAACAGCCTCAAATAAAAGTTCCCAAAAAAATGTGTCCTTCACCGTAGACTGGCTATTTCTCCAAGACTGTGACCATTTTCAAGTAGAAAACTGTGTTTTTAGACAAGGGAACAAAATTCTGCACTGTAGCAGCAGTGGTGCTCCCAAGGGACAGCAGGGGGGGATATGGCTAGAAAATTGTTGCCCCCCTCAGGGAAAATCATCCCCCACCCCCCTGAATCACATTCATGTTCACACAAACCACACATTCATATTCTTTAATCACAACATAAATGTTAAAGCAATAAATTATTTTATTTTATTTTGATAAATCATAATTTAAACACACATGTATGTTGCTAAGGCTCACCATTTTTCAAATTCAAGTAGAAATCCCAAAAGTATTTTGTGGATGTTTTCATTGAAACAGTGTTGAGGGTCTGCCCTCATGAGAAAATTACTATGCAGTAATTTCTCCAAAAGACTGCGCTCTGAAAAAGCAGATTCAAAATCTGCGCCAGCAACAACTTCATTTCCCAGGATTCTTTGCACCCGGAAGCAACGTGATGACGTCACCAAAGCAAGTTCCGCGCATGTGCTGACCCACACAGAGTCCAGCCGCCGGACCGCTGAAAAGCTATAAATCCCAGTGAAAAACGAAACTTATCCGTCTTTTGTTCAGTTCAACTGGCGTTGAAAGACGCACTCGTTTGCTACGGCTCCGGACAGCACGCGGGAGGCCTGGCTGCTGAAGTGGATCGAACACCGAGCCGCTGAAAAGCAACGGAACCGCCATCTGGTTCGTTTGAACTCCGGGGGACGCTTCGGGTTCGATAAACAAGAGTTTTTCTCTCCTCTTTCTCTTCCTTCCGTTTCTCTCTAATAAGTTCCGAATAAGCAATCAAACCGCGCGATTGCTTCAAATTAACAGACGGCTTTCCTTCTCCGTACCAAAAACGCCATCGGATCATTTTAAGAGTAAGCCGTTGTGTTTTTGCCATTGTTTAATATCTTAAGTAGTTTTTATGCTGTGGCCAGGCTGATAAACTATCAGATATTTCATTTATGATTGATCTTTTGTGTTGTTTATTGATCTTTGTGAAGCGGTTTTGAAGTCTGTAAAGTTCTACTGTGATTGAACGTGCTTCGGAAGTTTAAAGTGCAAGTTGCCCACCCACACACACACACATTCTGGTTTTCCCTGTTTGGGGACACACACACACACATACTTGTTTTTAGTGTTGGTAGGGGACAAGACTTAAACACACATCCATTGGGTCAGATTGTTTTACAGTATAATTTCATTGTTTCATTGTTTGTTATTCATTTGATAAAATCAGTTGGTTAATATTGATTGGCTAAACGCTTCAGAAGGAGCTGAAGCAATTATATTAGTTAATAAATGTACTGCCAATTAAGATTTTTGTCTCAGATGAGTTTGTTTGTGTGATATGAATTTATGACTGCTGCTCGTAAACAAATTTTACAAACTTTAAGACAGACTGATAAGAGGTTTGGATTCATTTTCCCTTGTTATATAGGGTGGTGCCCAGAGGCATATCTCCGGATATCCTAATTACGTAGTAAAATCGATAAATATTTCCATATTTACGAATTTTATTGAAGAATCCAAAAAGTAAGTAAAAGCTTACAAATTATTCGCTTGCCCAATATTCACAACAACAGCAAGGGGGAAATTAAACCTTTTTAAAAATCTAAAACCATAAAACTTGAAACAACAAATCAAGTAAATGATTGAAATTTTGTCTTTTTTCTGAAAACTTTGTGCTGAGGTAAAGATGCTGTTTTAATGAAAAACGATGAAAGAGCAGTTACCAATTTGGTGTGCCACCCCAAAATTTTCACTGGCCCCCTTTGAAAACTTTCTAGTACCGCCACTGTGCAGCAGACATTTTTTTGACAAAAGGTCACTTTTTTTAGAAATGTCTTCACTTTCTACAAGCTGGTGAAAAATCACCTGCAAAAAACCTGTTTTCTTTCCTCAAAAATAAAAAAGAGTCACACACATCGAACTGGAAAAACTGATCTAGTTCACACACATCGAACTGGAATATCTAATCTAGTTCACACACATCAAACTGGAATAACTCTAATCTAGTTCACACACATCGAACTGGGATAGCTAATCTAGTTCACACACATCGAACTAGGATAACTAATCTAGTTCACACACATCGAACTGGAATAACTCTGAACTAGTTCACACACATCGAACTGGAATAACTAATCTAGTTCACACACATCGAACTGGAATAACTAATCTAGTTCACACACATCGACCTGGAATAACTAATCTAGTTCACACATATCGAACTGGGATAACTAATCTAGTTCACACACATCGAACTAGGATAACTAATCTAGTTCACACACATCGAACTGGAATAACTCTGAACTAGTTTACACACATCGAACTGGAATAACTAATCTAGTTCACACACATCGACCTGGGATAGCTAATCTAGTTCACACACATCGAACTAGGATAACTAATCTAGTTCACACACATCGAACTGGAATAACTCTGAACTAGTTCACACACATCGAACTGGAATAACTAATCTAGTTCACACACATCGACCTGGAATAACTAATCTAGTTCACACACATCGAACTGGGATAACTAATCTAGTTCACACACATCGAACTGGAATAACTAATCTAGTTCACACATATCGAACTGGAATAACTAATCTAGTTCACACACATTGAACTAGGATAACTAATCTAGTTCACACACATCGAACTAGGATAACTAATCTAGTTCACACACATCGAACTGGGAAAACTAATCTAGTTCACACACATCGATCTAGGATAACTAATCTACTTCACACACATCGAACTGGAATAACTAATCTAGTTCACACACATAAAACTAGAATAACTAATTTAGTTCACACACATCGAACTGGAATAACTAATTTAGTTCACACACATCGAACTAGGATAACTAATCTAGTTCACACACATCGAACTAGGATAACTAATCTAGTTCACACACATCAAACTGGAATAACTAATCTAGTTCACACACATCGAACTAGGATAACTAATCTAGTTCACACACATCGAACTGGGAAAACTAATCTAGTTCACACACATCGAACTAGGATAACTAATCTAGTTCACACACATCGAACTGGAATAACTAATCTAGTTCACACACATCGAACTGGAATAACTAATCTAGTTCACACACATCAAACTAGAATAACTAATTTAGTTCACACACATCGAACTGGAAAAACTAATTTAGTTCACACACATCGAACTAGGATAACTAATCTAGTTCACACACATCGAACTAGGATAACTAATCTAGTTCACACACATCAAACTGGAATAACTAATCTAGTTCACACACATCGAACTAGGATAACTAATCTAGTTCACACACATCGAACTGGGAAAACTAATCTAGTTCACACACATCGAACTAGGATAACTAATCTAGTTCACACACATCGAACTGGAATAACTAATCTAGTTCACACACATCGAACTGGAATAACTAATCTAGTTCACACACATCAAACTAGAATAACTAATTTAGTTCACACACATCGAACTGGAATAACTAATTTAGTTCACACACATCGAACTAGGATAACTAATCTAGTTCACACACATCGAACTAGGATAACTAATCTAGTTCACACACATCAAACTGGAATAACTAATCTAGTTCACACACATCGAACTAGGATAACTAATCTAGTTCACACACATCGAACTGGGAAAACTAATCTAGTTCACACACATCGAACTAGGATAACTAATCTAGTTCACACACATCGAACTGGAATAACTAATCTAGTTCACACACATCAAACTAGAATAACTAATTTAGTTCACACACATCGAACTGGAATAACTAATCTAGTTCACACACATCGAACTAGGATAACTAATCTAGTTCACACACATCGAACTGGAATAACTCTGAACTAGTTCACACACATCGAACTGGAATGACTAATCTAGTTCACACACATCGAACTGGAATAACTAATCTAGTTCACACATATCGAACTGGAATAACTAATCTAGTTCACACACATCGAACTAGGATAACTAATCTAGTTCACACACATCGAACTGGGATAACTAATCTAGTTCACACACATCGAACTAGGATAACTAATCTAGTCCACACACATTGAACTGGAATAACTCTAATCTAGTTCACACACATCGAACTGGGATAGCTTATCTAGTTCACACACATCGAACTAGGATAACTAATCTAGTTCACACACATCGAACTGGAATAACTCTAATCTAGTTCACACACATCGAACTGGAATGACTAATCTAGTTCACACACATCGAACTGGAATAACTAATCTAGTTCACACATATCAAACTGGAATAACTAATCTAATTCACACACATCAAACTGGGATAACTAATCTAGTTCACACACATCGAACTAGGATAACTAATCTAGTTCACACACATCGAACTGGAATAACTAATTTAGTTCACACACATCGAACTGGAATAACTAATCTAGTTCACACACATCGAACTGGAATGAATAATCTAGTTCACACACATCGAACTGGAATAACTAATTTAGTTCACACACATCGAACTGGAATATCTAATCTAGTTCACACACATCAAACTGGAATAACTAATCTAGTTCACACACATCGAACTGGAATAACTAATTTAGTTCACACACATTGAACTGGAATAACTAATCTAGTTCACACACACATCGAACTGGAATAACTAATCTAGTTCACACACATCAAACTGGAATGACTAATCTAGTTCACACACATCGAACTGGAATAACTAATCTAGTTTACACACATGGAACTGGAATAACTAATTTAGTTCACACACATCGAACTGGAATAACTAATCTAGTTCACACACATCATACTGGAATGACTAATCTAGTTCACACACATCGAAGTGGAATAACTAATCTAGTTCACACACATCAAACTGGAATGACTAATCTAGTTCACACACATCGAACTGGAATGACTAATCTAGTTCACACACATCGAACTGGAATAACTAATCTAGTTCACACACATCATATTGGAATGACTAATCTAGTTCACACACATCGAACTGGAATAACTAATTTAGTTCACACACATCGAACTGGAATATCTAATCTAGTTCACACACATCGCACTGGAATAACTAATTTAGTTCACACACATTGAACTGGAATAACTAATCTAGTTCACACACACATCGAACTGGAATAACTAATCTAGTTCACACACATCAAACTGGAATGACTAATCTAGTTCACACACATCGAACTGGAATAACTAATCTAGTTTACACACATGGAACTGGAATAACTAATTTAGTTCACACACATCGAACTGGAATAACTAATCTAGTTCACACACATCATACTGGAATGACTAATCTAGTTCACACACATCGAACTGGAATAACTAATCTAGTTCACACACATCATACTGGAATGACTAATCTAGTTCACACACATCGAACTGGAATATCTAATTTAGTTCACACACATCGCACTGGAATAACTAATTTAGTTCACACACACTGAACTGGAATAACTAATCTAGTTCACACACACATCGAACTGGAATAACTAATCTAGTTCACACACATCAAACTGGAATGACTAATCTAGTTCACACACATCGAACTGGAATAACTAATCTAGTTTACACACATGGAACTGGAATAACTAATTTAGTTCACACACATCGAACTGGAATAACTAATCTAGTTCACACACATCATATTGGAATGACTAATCTAGTTCACACACATCGAACTGGAATGACTAATCTAGTTCACACACATCGAACTGGAATAACTAATTTAGTTCACACACATCAAACTGGAATAACTAATCTAGTTCACACACATCGCACTGGAATAACTAATTTAGTTCACACACATTGAACTGGAATAACTAATCTAGTTCACACACACATCGAACTGGAATAACTAATCTAGTTCACACACATCAAACTGGAATGACTAATCTAGTTCACACACATCGAACTTGAATAACTAATCTAGTTTACACACATGGAACTGGAATAACTAATTTAGTTCACACACATCGAACTGGAATAACTAATCTAGTTCACACACATCATACTGGAATGACTAATCTAGTTCACACACATCGAACTGGAATAACTAATCTAGTTCACACACATCAAACTGGAATAACTAATCTAGTTTACACACATGGAACTGGAATAACTAATTTAGTTCACACACATCGAACTGGAATAACTAATCTAGTTCACACACATCATACTGGAATGACTAATCTAGTTCACACACATCGAACTGGAATAACTAATCTAGTTCACACACATCAAACTGGAATGACTAATCTAGTTCACACACATCGAACTGGAATAACTAATTTAGTTCACACACATCGAACTGGAATGACTAATTTAGTTCACACACATCAAACTGGAATAACTAATCTAGTTCACACACATCGAACTGGAATAACTAATTTAGTTCACACTAGGGCTGTAGCGAAGCCTCGACAACGTCGACGGCTCGATTCTAAAAATTTGTCGACGTCAGATCCGGAAGTCGACGCACCACGCCCACTTGTTGCATCCCCAGGAGTTTGTAAATAGAGGAGGAATCTGCCTGTTTTTCCTCTAGCTCGCCCTCTTCTCCGCCTTCACTAACATCTCCGCCAAATACCGAAGACCCGGAACAACGTCCGTCCACTACTAGATTATTTTCCTGTTTTGCCCGCCTTCGTCTCCCGGCAACGGACAACAACTTCCGGGGTCAGATGCGCTGCTTCGTCTCTACCGCAGATGTAGAACATCACCGGGAGCGCTTCTCCCTTCATTAAGGAGCTTCTTTCAGACATTAGGAGAGCTGTTTTGGTGGTAGCAGTCTCTCCTCCGTGCTGGTCTGTTTGCTGCTGGGTGTTTTTGGTTTATTTAAACTTGGTAACTTAAACTTAACGTTGGTAAAGCTACTGTTAGCATCTTCGCTAACAGCTTCTTGCGTTGGGATAAGCTGTTACGTTTTGGTTTAGAGTTCATCTTTTTTGTGGTGTAGATCTCCCTTTTATTACATTTAGAGTGTTGTGGGTTTTCGGTTTAGTGTAAAATATCACCTTGAGTTTGGTTTAACCCGTAAGACCACTCGCCTCACGCACATAAGTGACCAAAACAAAGCAGCATGGAGACACTCCATCTTCTACCACCTCTCAGGCAGCAGCCTGCACTCCCAAGTTCTACACGTCACCAGAACATAAACAACCGCAACACAATAAAAGCAGTGTTATACAAAATGGAAGGCCTGTAGTGTTTATTCTCTTACAGTAAGAATTTATCAATTTTTTTGAGGAATTTATTTGAGATTTTCTGGTTTTTGTTAATTGTGCAATAGAAAAATAATCATTAGATTAATTTTCTAAATAGTCATTAGAATAGTCGACTATTCGATAAAATAATCGTCAGAATAATAGTTTTAAAAATAATCGTTTACCCCCAGCCCTAGTTCACACACATCTAACTGGAATGACTAATCTAGTTCACACACATGTATCAAAACAAAAATAATTTGGGATGAGGAGATAAGAAATGATGAAAGAGTTGGAAACCTCAGCAACTTTCAGCTCCACATATTTAAAGCGCTGTATGGCGTGGCTTCATTGGCAACAGGTTTCAGGATGAAAACTGATCCTAAGGATCTGTAAGGACGCCTGCAGACGCCTGAATATAAATGTAAGAAAAACACTTGTGATCAAACGCTGCAGTAATGGAAGCAGTCTTGGACTGTACAGTACTCAAGAGAAAATAAATTCTCCAGGGAGTCAAGTGAAGGCTACAGATATTAATTAGGCTGCCACTGATGGATTAAAAGCTTAATAGTAGCAAAAAGAAGAAAATAAATCATCATATTAAGTAACATTCGACAAGCATTCCAGGCTAAATGCTGCAAACGTACCGGTGAGAGGGGAGGTAGGCGGCGGAGGTGATGCCGTGGGACTGGTGGGTGGAGAAGCTGAAGGTGTGGTTCTCCTGAAAGGTCTGATTGGTTCCCACGCTGAAAAACAGCAGGAAAGACAATCAAATCTAATTAACCTCTGGCACGTAAATAATGGAATCACAAACACTCGTATGAAAACCGTTACCGGTGCAGCAAAGAGGTTTCAGGAAGATGACAGAGCTATTTCTCTCCCAGCTGCAATTAAAATGAGACATGGCAAAATATATAATATAATTAAGGGCTGGGGGAGTGATTTAAACTAGATTGGTACGTGTTGTGTAACTGTGTTGGGACATCTCACAGGGGAAATCTGAGGAAATGTATGGAGAGGAGGTGATAAGGAGGGAATGGAAATAAGCGGGGGATTTTAGAAATTTTGACAGGTTAGATCCGTCCAAACATTTGGTTGTTTTTGACATTGCCAGCAAGAGTGTGTGTGCATGTGCACATGCTAAAACGTGCACCAAAGTCCCCGGGAGAGAAAACCACCTCAGCTGTAGATATGAGACTCTAATTTCAAGTGTTTAGCAACATTATTAGAATGCATCACGCTAAAAAGGAAAAGGGAACACGAGCTGCGTGCTAAACCTTCAAAAACACACTTCCTGAGGAAATCTGCTCTTCCACATCTTAATTACACACACGCACACACACACGCTTATACCTCAAAGGCAGCTAACACAATCTCTCCGCCTGCAATATGAGAATAAATCAGCATTTTCCTCCATTTTCTGCAAACATCAGTACTGATCCCAAACTGAAGGAGGAGTGCAGGACATCATCTAATTAAGATTCAACACACACACTTGCTAAACTTCATCCTGTGCATTGGGATCGTCACTGCACCATGGCCTGGTGTGACAACTGCAATGAAACAAATGAGAAATCTCTGAGAGGGGGAGAAAAAAACAAAGAGCTAAAGCTACATTTAAATGTGATGATGATAGGAGCCACGAGGAGAGAGCATACATAAATCAGATGTGATAAAATATTTAGCATGTATGTCTGAGGAAGGAGATTCAGGCACTGGAATTGGTATTCAAAGAGAGCCATGCCTGCCTTCGACATTTAGGTAAAAAAAATAAAAATACTAGTGTGCTGCATCGACTCGCCTCACAAACAACATTATACAGAAAATGCAGCTAAAATTCTGATTTTGGCCAAGAAATAATCCTGCAGCAGTATAATTTAGTGCCAACTGAAACTCCTGATTAAATGTTTGCTGCACCTGACTTTATTTACGCTGGTTGACAACAATTAGCGAATTCTGTAGCTTTTTTAAGGTGAGACGTGCGAGGGTTGTGGGTGGAAAAGGGTCCAATTCAGTCGCACTGATTAACAGATTTTCAGATTAATAAACACATTAAAGTCAACCGCCTAGTTTGAGCATGCAAGTGCTTACTAAAGGCTGAATGGAAAAGACGGATCATGAAATCACCGTTTCGGTGTGTTATGAGGTCGGATTTTTGGCTACTGGTAACTGAAAAGGAAAACAGCCTTGGTACATAAATTAATTACGAACGCTTGGGTGGGATTTAAATGGTCCAGGATAGGGTTAAGCCCATCTACGACTGGGCTGACACTGCTGGCGCCTAGAGATGCATAAAACATGCTAATTTCCTGTTGGGATAACACTGAATCATCATCGTCATCAACAACATAAAGATGAAATAAAGCAACCGCCACTTTCTTCCCTTGTTGAGAACTTATGGGAATCAACTAAAGTTAATAACAAGTCAGTGACTCGATGCAATCTGCTGGGTTTCCTTTGACAGAAAACTTCATGATAAAATGAACTGAACTTCATGCACTGATTAGTAAGCTCAGTCTAAATGTTTATTTTGTAAAGCTCCTCGAAATGACTCTTGTTGTGATTTGGTGCTATCGACATGAACTGAAGTGAAACCGAACAAACGGGAAAGATTATCTAGGAATAATCTCGTTTGGTTACTTGGAGAGGGTGAGACTTAAAACTCATACTGCATCCAGACACTAGAGGGCGTTTTGGTTTGATTTGGATTCAACAAATTGGGTTTCTCAGGTTAGTTATCCTGTACAGGTGCTGGTCATAAAATTAGAACATCATGACAAACTTGATTTATTTCAGTAATTCTATTCAAAAAGTGAAACTTGCATTTCAAAAGTTTATTTCTTTCATTTTGATGATTATAACTGACAACTAATGAAAATCCCAAATTTAGTATCTCAGAATATTAGAATATTGTGAAAAGGTTCAATATTGAAGACTCCCAGTGCTACACTCTAATCAGCGTCTTAACTCAAAACACCTGCAAAAGCCTTTAAATGGTCTCTCAGTCTAGTCCTGTAGGCTACACAATCATGGGGAAGACCACTGACCAGACAGTTGTCCGAAAGACACCCATTAACACCTTGCACAAGGAGGGCAAGACACAAAAGGTCATTGCTAAAGAGGCTGGCTATGCAGAGCTCTGCGTCCAAGCACATTAATAGAGAGGTGAAGAGAAGGACAAGACGTGGTAGAAAATATGTGTACAAGCAAAAGGAATAACCACACTCTGGAGAGGATTGGGAAACAAAACCCATTGAAAAATGTGGGGGAGATCCACTAAAAGTGGACTGCAGCTGGAGTCAGTGCTTCAAGAACCACCAGACACAGACATGGTCTCAGCCATCGCATTCCTTGTGTCAAGCCACTTTCGAACTAGAGTCTGCCCTGGGCTAAAGACAAACAGGACTGGCCTGCTGAGTGGTTCAAAGTTTTCTTCTCTGATGAAAGTAAATGTTTCATTTCCTTTGGAAATCAAGGTCCCAGAGTCTGGAGGAAGAGAGAAGAGGCACAGAATCCACAATGACTGAGGTCCAGTGAAAGGTTTCCACAGTCAGTGATGGTTTGGGGTCTCATGACATCTGCTGGTGTTGGTCCATTGTGTTTTTTGAGGTCCAAGGTCAATGCAGCCATCTACCAGGATGTTTTAGATCACTTCCTGCTTCCTGCTGCTGACCAACTTTATGGAGATGCAGATTTCCTTTTCCAACAGGACTTGACACGCACGCCGAGCCAAAGCTACCAGTACCTGGTTTAAGGACCATGGTGTCCCTGTTCTTGATTGGCCAGCAAACTCTCCTGACCTTAACCCCATAGAAAATCTATGGGTTATTGTGAAGAGGAAGATTAAATAAGCCAGACCCAACAATACAGAAGAGCTGAAGACCACTATCAGAGCACCATGGGCTCTCCTAACACCCAAGCAGTGTCACATACTGATGGACTCCATGCCACACCGCATCACTGCAGAAATCCAGACCAAAGGAGCCCCAGCCTAACACTGATTGCTGTACATGCTCATACTTTTACATTTCTAAAAGGTCTTATTTTGCATTGGTCTTAACTGATGTTCTCATTTCCTGAGCGACCGAATATGTGGTTTTCATTAGTTGTCAGGTATAATCATCACCGTTAAGAAATAAACATTTGAAATATATCAGTCTGAGTGTAATGAATGAATCTAATATACAAATTTACTTTCTGAATGGAATTACTGAAATAAATACTTTTGTCATGATGTTCTAATTTATGACTAGCACCTGTATGCGGTCGAGTTCAGAGTAACATAAACTATTTAAATAAAGGTGTCCGTTGATTCGAGTGTGTACTTGACCTGTCTGTGTTGTATCAGCTGTACTCAATGTGCTACAAAGAAAAATGTGCTTGTTGGATTTAACTGTAAAAAAAAGGTATTTTTAGGCCAATCAAAATGCCAGTTGACATACACATAGGCAGAAAGCATGAGTGTGTCTGACGGGAGTTGAACCATCAGCATCTTTTCCCTCGGAAAGAAGTTAGCCAAGATGAAATGTTAAGACATGCAAGAGCCGAAAGCAGGGCAGCTCATTTGAAGAGGAAGAAATTAAATGTCATTTAATGTGTTGAAAATGTCAACGAGTAAAAGAGGGTGATGTGCAAAGTGCCAGGGTTGTAATCTAATGAGCAGAAGCAGAGGAGTCAATGGAGTTGGTCTGGAAGTTATAGAAGGACTTGAACAGTCCAGCTACAAGAAGGTGAACTGGATTTTCAGCTGAGTGTAGTCCCACAGTAGGACGGTTTAGTCGCGTGCTAATCAGGGGTAGGGAGGAGGGCCTTCAGAGTGAGTTTCTGCTCATTAAGCAACAATAGACAGCTACAGCTTGTAAGCTTGACCCTCCCACATTCCAGTCAGAATTGGCAAAGCTCCTCGGGTGAGAAGCGAAACCCAAAGTCCAGTCGCCTTCATTTGAACCCTTTTGGACGTAAAACCTCAAAAAGACTATTGTAGCAACGCGATGTCATCTATGTAGATGACGCCAATGCATCCGTTTGGGAAGTGCAACAGTGTGTTTTTCATGGCTTTCATCCTGGCAGTGGAGGGAAACAACATCACATGACATCACACTGCCATATCAAACGTGATTTGTCCGTGAGAGAGGGGGTGGGGTGCACGCAGAACATTTCCGGGGTTATTGCTCAACTTCTTCATCTCCAGCTTCTACAGATTCCCAATTGACTCTAATCAGGTGCGTTAGAGCCGATAAACAACTAAAGCATGTAGGACAGCGGCCCTGGTTAATATAGTTTATACATCAGTTTGGATGATCGTGACTGTGAGCTATTTTTGTGTTGGTAAAGGCTCCAATCTCAAAAACTACCAAGTATTACATCAAGGAGACGGTGTCACCGTTATCAGGAGCCAGACGACTTGTAGATTAAGCAAATCTTAATGAACAAGACTTGATTTTAAAGTATTTAATAAACATAGAGAGCACCAAATGAAACTTCATAGCAGCCGAGTTTTCCAACAAGCAAAAGATCCCCAAAACTCCACAAACAACAATGACATGACAGGTCTACCTGGACCTTGTTATCTCCAGGGAGAAAGGCAGCTCCTTGCGTCTCTCACCTTACTAGATAGCTCTTGAGTCCACCACCGTATGTGATCACAAGAAGCTCAGCTGACCACTGAGCACTCGCCGTGTACTCCAAGAAGATGAGGCCTGCGACAGCACAACTGAAATCTCCAGGAAAACTCCCCACCTGGATCAGGACAGAGGGAGACAAGGAAGTGTGGGAAAAAAACAACATATTTTGTGCTTTCAACAGGTTTTTAAAAGGGTAAGCAGCAAAGACGCAACAAGAAATGAACATAAATAAGAAAAAAGATGAAGAGAGGAGACAGGCAGTCAGGGAACAAACCATAAGAGACAAAGTTAAAGAGACGAGACGAGCAAATCTGAATTCTCTTCACACTTTCTGTCAGTTTGACTTTTCTATCATCTCCTCCAGAAATAGCAGCAAGCCAGTGCACTTAACGGCGACAACAGGAGGAGTGCAGCGGCGCTGAGGGGAGCAGACTTTCAGAGGGTAATGTGGCCGGGGAGATGGACGAGCGTCTGCTCGCGCTGTCTGACAGAGCAAATAAAGAAACGGAGGAATGACGGGCAGAAATGTGGGAATAATGATGGAAGAATAATCGGATGGGGGTGAAATGGGGGCAGGAATGGATTTGATGGGAGAAAAGGGAGACAAGCGAGGATGAGAGGGATGTAAGAGCAGCACAGATGTGAAACATTAAAGATGGAAGGTGATGAAGACGGGCTAAAGAGGACACGGAGATCAGAATGGAGAGGAGGAAGCAACAGATGATGAATGTAGAACTGAAAAAAGCCCCGTGTCTAAGAGTAGAGTGTTCCTGACCAGGAGGGTTAGACGTTTCTCCTCGATGTGACGGCTGCTGAAAGTGCTCAGTGAAAGTGGAGGACCTTCGCCTGACTCATCTCAGGAGAGGGTTAGGGTTACATCCACTGTAACTCACTCGGGTAAACAGCTGGATCTTCATTCACTTTGATTATTTAGCTCCGTGGAGCAGGAAGGTCCCGGGTTTGATTCCCAGCTGGGTGCAGTCTGCATGCTCTCCTAGTGACCTTTCAATTGGTCTGACGTTGTGACGCACAGATGTTTCACACAGATTTATTTGATATAGCGCCTTCTAGAGTCCTGGAACCCCTCAAGGCGCTTTACAACACAGTCATTCACCCATTCACACACACATACACACATGTGGTACCGTAACAATAACTTAGTGTGTGTTTCCATAAGATACTAAACTCTGGTGTCCTACGGGACCTTTTCCTCTACTGGACGCAGCGCGACTTGGTTGCTACTCCTTTAACGGTTCCTGCGTCGTTGTGGTTCCAAACGAAGCAAAAACACGACGTCAGAATACGCCAGTAACTGACTATCTAGGGGGCGGAGTCACTGGGTGGTCCAGAGAGTTCTGCCTAGCTGCCCGCAGCCTTTTCCAGCTCTTTTCTTCAGGGAGTTAGTAGAAGACTGAACAGGAGCAAAACACTGCTTCTATCTTCACCTCATGCTACATCTAGACCTCAGGTCTGCCCAGCTCTGACGAGCCCGCCCACTAAAGCCCGAGTCGAGTCGAGTCGAGCCACGCTGTGCTGAGTAGTAGAAACAGGCCGTTAGTGACCAGTAGGTCTAACGGGTAAGCAGCTGATTCTCCTCCAGCTGCAAGGCTCTACCTTATTGAAAAGGTCAAAGGTCATGTAATATTAGCTCAGACTAAAATTTCTACACAAAATTTAAAAACACACTATAGAGATCAGAGACGGCCAAACACGTTACAACCAGCCCTGTGGAATTCCACTTTTAACATTCATACATAAACGAACAGAACTTCACGTTTTTGTTAATAAAAGGTCTCGTTCGGTGAAAAACCGTATAACACGTATTCTCATATGACCCGCCACTATGGGCCCAATACGTTCAAACGGTCCACGACCCCATCACCTGCATCAGCTGACAATAGGAAAGAGACGGGAAAATGATTGGTCCAGAAGAAGACAGTTCCTTCTACGCCACAGGAAAATATTAGTGTCTGTGGCCCCGCCCACCTTGGCTAGGGACCACGGAAGACGAGTTTGTGGCCAACAGAGAGTTAGTTCGGTTAGTAGAAGCTAACCAATAGCAGTCCACAACATGGCGGAACACGTCTGAACTTGTTATTTCTGGAGAAAAAACATGAACGTAGCATTTTTTACACAAGGAAGAAAAGCGAATGACGGCGGGGAAGAGTTGTGATGCAGTTAGCCAATCAGAGATGAGACTCGTAAGCCTACGGTTTTCTGAGCCCCACTTCCCCGACAAACTCCTATCCCGTGAAACAGAAGCACCAGAGCTTTATTTCCCCTCAGAAAACGACTCACAAGGCATTCATTTATCCTAGATTTCACAGCCGATTTATCGAAAAAAATACGTGAAAAAGACATTTATGATTTTTTTATTATCTTAAGACATGAACTAAACTTTTACTAGGTTTAAACTTTAAAGATGTGCAGTGATCGCTTGTAGAAATTAACGCCTTGTAAGTCGTTTCTTGAGGGAATAAACTATACCGACGCATCATTTCTAGGAACTAAAAGATGCCCACATCACAGCTTCAGGCGACCGGTTTTGGAGTTGTACTTCCTGATATTTGGACACATCGTCACAGAATGGATAACAGCAGCGCGACTCTACCGCTGACTCACAACCTTGATGTTTTATCTCCACACACACACACGTTTGGAGGAGTTCCTGCAGTGTGGTGAAGTTGCTCATGCTAATGGTTAGCTTAAACTAGCCAAGATGTTGACTGGTGAGTCCCAGACAATGAAAGAACAAGAGCCTTCCACGTCGTGAGTCAAGATGGGAAATGCTAAGGGACTGTGTGACGTCCATCTGTCAGGATGTTATATCTAAAGAGTTTCGCCATCTATTTTTCATCAGAAGCTAACACAGGAGATAGGTCTAGGAGACTATTTTCATGTTCAGCCTGCATGAAAAACTCAGAAACAATCACTGAAAATGGGTTTTCAGGGTTCCACACTTTCAAAACGTACATTTTAAGAAATAATTATGCATTTAACAAGATCACCTAGTTGTTACGTTTATGGACTACTAAGCATGAAAGTGTGCTGCGTCACCTGCTTTTAGAAGGTTTACTAAAAAAAATCATTATTTTTAGTAGGGATGTACAAGATATCGGCACCAATATTGGTATCGGCAGATGTTAGTCTGTATCGGTCTGATAAATGAAACTGGGCCGATATTAACAGCAGATTATTTTTCCTTCTTGTTTCTGTTTATTTATCTGTTGGGGGGGGGGGGGTATTTGTTTAGTCATGTGACAGTGATTGTCAGTTACACTGATATTGGCCCAAACATTTCATATCGGTGCATCACTAATTTTTAGTATTTTATGAGGCTAGTGAGTCATTTGTTTTTGTTTTGAACCAGTCAGAGTGTGTTTTTAAGAAGGAAAAAAAGGCTAAAAAGCATGTGTCGTCATAGTTACCGGCGGGATGACAAAGAGCTCGCTGCCTATGAGGTCAAAAAGCCGGACGGTGCCTGTGCTGTCGGCGTAGGCCAGCAAAGTGCAGTCATAGCTCCAAGCCACTCTTCTCCACTGTGGGTTTGGGTCCTTCGGCACTGCAAGAGGGGAAAAACATCTAGAATGACCCGATAGTCTAGAAATGAAAGCTTGCAAATGAAGAAAGATGAGAGAACCCTCTAGGAATAATCCTCGGTGTAATGTGATGTGCCGATGACGAATACAAGTTGAGGGGAGAGGAGAGATAAAGCTGAGGCAACACATTAACACAGCGTGTCTAAGGTTTATCCAAAGCATCTGTGAGCCATAGCTCGAATGCCGTCTCAATAATTGCCTCTCAGAGACGCGGCACTTTCACACACAAAGCTCACGGCGAGAGGAAAGAGGGGCAAAAGAGAGGGAGAGAGAACAGAGATCGTAAATTGAGCTTTTATTGACGTGTAGGCTTCTGTTTTAGGAATCTGCTGGCTCAGCGGCGCTTGGCGGGTAACCGTATCGCTGTGATAAAGCACACCCGCGCCTGCTGGCATTAGCTCAAGCGTCCGCCGTCATCCTTCCCCCTGACGGAGGAGCTGGGGCAGGCTGGCAGGCCTCTGATACCGAGCCCGCGTTCAATCCCTAATTATCCTCAAATAAATTCAACAGCATAAGTGGGGAGAGGGGTGCATGTACAAGACTTTGCACATGCTGAGCTGAATATTTAATCACCCTTAAGCATTTAAACCAGAGCCGGGGTTTACCACAGGCTCCAGTCCGTTGCTGTTGTTGGAGAACAGCGTGAAGCGTCCGACGGCGCCGGCCCAAGCCGAGGAGTTATTACAGAAATAACAGAAACAGGAAGTTATGGGGTTGTTGTTCTGGTTGTCGTCCCGCTACAGCGCCGTTGGCGTTCGCTGTGCTGGATCTTCTTGGCTGCGTAACGTTGCCGCAACCCCTGGTGGGCAATCTGGCTAACGAACGGAGGCGTCGGGACATTGTATGGCTTGAGTTTCAAATGAAGAACAAAGGGAAGAAGTGGGAGGCGAGGCAGATGAAGACACAAAGATGAGGGACGAGACAACGAATCCCACCGGAAACGAGAAGAAATAAAGTAGTGGTTCCTTAAGGCCAAGTGCTTCAGGTGGGCAACTGGTTAGAAAAGTCTCAGAGTCTCTGAGAGCCGTGGGAATGCAGCATCTGCTGTTTAAACCCGTTTTTATTATCGTTTCACTTCACAGCCTGACTTCCCTTCTCGTCTGCCATTAAGTCGTCTCGCTGCTCAGAGGGCTCCATCTCCACATATGTGTGGCTTTTTTGGGGGAGCTAGAAAATTAGATGCTACCATCTTTTGTCCCTTCCTCCTCTCCTTCAAGCGAGAGGCGGAAGTTGGGGAGAATTACACCCAGTGACCCGACAGAAGTCTTCTATCTAAAGCCCTGCAGATGCATTTATCAGAA